CCTCTTTCAAAGGTGAGGCAGCAAGAAATCCCAAAAGGTTCACAACAGTCTGCAGATTACAAGGAATCACATTCCAGAGGACAGTAATCTTCATGGTCACCACTATGGGAATCTCTAATCTAACAAATATGCTTTATTTATATATGCATACACCTACTCATAACAACATAATTTTGGGTGGTAGGAACTTTCATTTAACCAGTTAAGTTTTTATTATCTGTGGTCTCACCATTCCTCAAGGGTGAGAGAGAGAGAGAGAGAGACAAAAAAATTCACACACACACACACACACACACACATGGACACCACCGTATTCAGGAAATGAATGATTCAGACCTGGGCTAATACACACAGATGGACGGATGTACAGACAGACACACAGAGATGGACACACACACACAACAGAAAGAGACACAGACACAGACAGATGGGTGGACAGACAGAAAGACAGATGAACACACACATACATGAACACTGACACAGATGGACACACACGGGGACGTGAGCACAGACACGGACACCCCCATAGTCAGGAAATGAATGATTCAAACCTGGGCCAATACACGACTTGTCCTGAGATTTTACATGATTTTCATCAGTTATTTCAGGCAAATGACAGGATAGAATCTTAAGCCGTGAGACACGGACAGAGAGACAGACAGACACTCACAGGGGCACATGGACAGACGGACCCCCTCCCCCCACAAACACACACACGGAGACGGAGATGGACACAGACGGATGGGCACGCGCACCCACAGAGAGAGAGACATGAACACACACAGACGATTACACACACACACATGGTCGGACAGACAGACACACACTGATGGACAGACGGACAGACAGACAGACACACACATATGGATGGACACGGACACCCCCATATTCAGGAAATGAATTGAATTGAATTTATTTACATTCTATAAATCCTAAGCAGGTTAGTACCTTTGGATACAGACCAAGTCAAAAGGTTACATACATAAGTACAGGCAATTTTAGCTTAAAAATTAATATAACTTAATTTTACATCTTTCTCTATTTACATTGAAGTATTCATCTAAAGAGTAGAAGGAATGAGCATGTAGATAATTCTTTAACTCTGATTTAAACTTTTTAGTATCATTGCCCAAGTTTTTAATACTTTGTGGCAGATTGTTGAACACTTTTATGCCAGTAAAGTAGACTCCTTTTTGATATACTGATAAAGTTGATGAGGGTAGGTGGAAGTTATATTTTTGTCTAGTATTCATGTTATAGACATCAGAATTTAATTTGAATTTATCTTTGTTGTAAACAACAAATAAGAGAAGCGATAATATGTATTGCGATTGAAGAGGTAGAATTTTTAATTTCT